TTTAAATGCTAATTTGTGGAGGGTTCCTAAGCCTGCAAAACCCCAAGGATGAACACCATTGCCTATGGCTGCCCCAGATCCAGGGCCACTTGGTCATCTCGGGTAACAACGGATAGTGGCATGATGTCACTATTCTCTCTAGATAGCAAAAGCCTGGAAGTACCAGGCCCAATAAATATTTGCTGAAAGAGTACAAGGAAAAGAAACAAAGAGCCTCTACTAGCCTGTAAGCCCTGTGAAGACAAGGACCATGTCTGTGTTGTTGGCCGCTGTACATCCAGCACTCAACACAGTGCTTGGGACAGAATTGATGTTCAATAAATAGTTGCTGAATGAATGAACGAACGAATGAATGAATGACTACCTCATAATGGGGCATGAAGGGAAGTAGGTTGGGTGTTTATTTCCAACATGTGTCTTCTCCACTTGAATGGCTCCCCGGAGATCCCTGATACAAGTACTGGGACCATCCAGGGAATCCCTTTAGACCAAATTATTTCTACTACTGTCTTGGGGAATAGTTAATTTCCCCCAAAGGGAGGCAAATAACTGTGAGCAGAAGGGCCCTGGTTATTTAATTAGAGCGAAATAGAAGTAGAATGCCATTTTTTTTTTTTATGCGGTACACGGGCCTCTCACTGTTGTGGCCTCTCCCGTTGCGGAGCACAGGCTCCGGACGCGCAGGCTCAGCGGCCATGGCTCACGGGCCCAGCCGCTCCACGGCATGTGGGATCTTCCCGGACCGGGGCACAAACCCGTGTCCCCTGCATCGGCAGGCGGACTCTCAACCACTGTGCCACCAGGGAAGCCCCTAGAATGCCTTTTAAAGCATTATTGGGTACCAGGCACTGCTGAGGTTTTTACACACATTATCTGTCTCATTTATTTCTTACCACAACTCTCTAGGTTAGGTATTAACATTATCCCCCTTTGGCAGAAAAGATTACCGAGGTACAGAGAGGTTAGGTGCCTTGCCCAGGATCACACAGCTAGTAACTGAGAGTTAGGACATGAACTTAGGCCTGTCAGACTCCAAAGCCTATGCTCTTTCTACTACAGCAGTATTGGGATCTGGCAGTAGCCACAGACTTTTAGAAAGACAGCGGGCAGGGACCCTATCTTATTTGCCTTTGTGCCTCGAGTTCTGTCAGAGTGGCTGTCAAGTAGTAGAGATTCAATAAATGCTTAATAAACAAATCTATCAGTGAAGAACTCTTCTCATTCATTCGATCATTCATTCAATAAATATTTATTGACTGCCTATAGTGTGCCAGGTACGTCTAGGTAGAAGCTGGGCATATAGTGGTGGACAAAAATCCCTATGGAACTTACATTCTAATTGGGGGAAATATACTATAAACACATAACTAAGAAAACCTCAGATGACGATGACTACTCTGAAGAAAAAAGAGCATGAAGTAATTAAGAATGACTGGGAGGTGAGGGAAGGCTTCTATAAGAGAGGTCATTTAAACTGAATAATAAGAAGGTACTAATCATGCAAAAGTCTGAGGGAGGTACATTTGAGGAAAATGAAACAGCTAGTGCAAAGATCCTGAGGCAGGAATAAACTGGGTGTGTGAGGAACTGAAGAAGAAAAAAAGAGAGTGTGCTGGTAGCAAGTGAGAGAGAGGCTGAACACTAAGAGATGAGGTGTATTAGGTTGTTGGGGCTGCCATAACAAAGTGCCACAAACCAGGTGGTTTAAACAACAGAAACGTTTATTGCCTCAGTTCTGGAGGCTAGAAGTCCAAGATTAAGGTGTTGGCAGGGTTGGTTCCTTCTATGGCTGTGAGGGAGAATCTGTTTGTGCCTCTCTCCTAGATTCTGGTGGTTTGCTGGCAAACTTTGGTCTTCCTTGGCTTGTAGACACATCACCTCAATCTCCACCTTCATCTTTACCTGGCATTCTGTGTGTGTGTGTGCGAGTGTGCGCGCACTTGCTTCTAAATTTCTCCTTCTTATAAGGACATCAGTCATATTGGATTAAGGCCCGACCTACTCCAGTATGACCTCATCCTAATTTAATCACATCTGCAAGGGCCCTATTTCCAAATAAGGTCACATTCTGAGGTACTGGGGGTTAGGACTTTAACACATGAATTTTAGGTGGACACAATTCAACACATAACATGAGGTTAGCAAGATAGGCCAGATGAAGGTCATGGAAGGCCTCAGAGGCCAGGGTAAGGGGTTTGGGTTTGCTCTGGATGTAATGGGAAGCTACCAAAGGGTTTCAAATCAGGCAACTGACATGATCTATCTTTGAAAAGGATCATTCTGTCTGCTGTGTTAGAATATGAAAGAAAACAGCCCCTGTGCCTGCATGAGTCATATGGCTCCCCTACTGGGGATGGGAATTCTCATCATAACAACCATTTACTGGACCTGAGGCTTTAATTTTCTTTATTTATCATTAGTTTGCAAGAAAAACAAATTTAGCTTCCAACTGATGAGATGAACACATATTTATAGCCACATATAAAAATAGTTTTCTTTCCTGGATGTTTACTTTTAAAAAAATATAAAAGTGACATATGCTCCCAGTAAAAACTTCAAATAATACAAAGGGAAGTCAATTAGTAAATACAGGCCCCCCAGACACTGCTCCCCAACCCTAATCCATCCCCACTTCTCACTTTTCTACACAAGCACATTTTTAAAAAAACCTCTTTGGAGATCCCCTTCCTAGGATTGCTTCTGATCACCTCTACACGCCTCTATACAGATTCTTACCCACAGTAAATTTTTAACACTAGGCCAACTGCCCAACCAGGCAGGCTCCTGTTACTCTCTTCCCATAAACTGGCCTAGAAACAGTCAGGATCAACAGGAACACGTAGCCATAAGATTAGTCTGGATCTGGGGTCAAAAACACTGAGTTCCAGCTTCTGTTACAACACTTCCTGCCTCTGAGATACTGAGCAAATCACAAACAAGTCTTAGTCTTAGTATCCTCATATTTTGCCTATCTCACGGGGTTGATGTGAAGTTCAAGGGTATTTGTGTAACAAAATATTTCTAAGTACATTGCTGCTAGTGTAGACAACCCTCCTCTCCACTCCATTGAAATCCTAACTCTCAATGTATTTGGAGGTAGGGCCTTTGGGAGGTGATGAAGTCCGGAAGGTGGAGCCTGAACATGAACAGGATTAGTGCCCTGATAAAAAGGACCCCAGAGAGCGCTCTAGCTCTCTTTCTGCCATGTGAGGATACAACAATTCTGTAGTCTGCAACCTGGGAGAGGGGATCTCACCAGAACCCCACCATGCTGGCACCCTGATCTCAGATTTGCAGCCTCCAGAACTGTGAGAAATCAATTTCTTTTGTTTATAAGCCACTCTGTCTATGGTCATTTGTTATAGCAGCCTGAGCTGACTAACACACCTGGGATAGTCCCAGTTTGAGCCTGTTGTCCCTGGGTAATTATTAACACCACCATCCCACTGTCAGAAGTGTCTTAGTCACACAATAAATTATATGGCGATCCTAATGAAGGAAGAACTGGAGTCCTTTCCTCATTGTTTTTATCTGAGGCACTGCTTCTAAAAAGAAACTACAACTTTCAGACACCAGGACGATAGGCTCCTTAAAGGCAGGGACTGCCATGTGATTGACTTGTTTTAACAATAAGAGAAACACAGTTTATTATATACGTTAAAAAGAGAATATCTGATCAACTAAGAAATACCTTGTGATTGAATTTTGTATTCCCAGCATCTAGCTGTATGTATGAATTAACGCTTTTTGCCCTGCCTACTACCCTCAGACACAGTTTTTTTCTGACCAAACCAGAGCTATACCAGTATTTTAATGATTGCACTGACATCTGGTGGTCATTTCCAGGTTCTTCTCTGGGCAGCTCCTGTACTAGATGATGGATTCATCTGTACCTCGTACTCCATCAAAGCCATTTTTATCTGAGCCCTACAGCAACTAGACATGATACTCTAATTCTTCGCAAGTTGTTGAGAGCTGGTAACAGCTAGATGCACTGTTTTTTTTTCTTAGAAGGTATTTAGATTAGAGGCCGGGATGATGATAAGTGTGGAAGGGGTCCAGTAAAATGATAAATAACATCAAAAACTGAAGTTTCCTTGTGGAATTTCAGGCTTATGAGGGAGTTATTTATACATAGAGGTGTCCTTCCTGAAATGATACCAAGTAGGCCAAAGTCATTAAAGTTCTTGGTAGCAACAAGGTATCAAGTCAACACCAGTGCAGATGTAATCAAATGTCAACGGGAGAAACTCTTAAATGAAAACTTGGACACACAGTAAACTGCCTTCCTGGTGGTCTGGCTAACAGAGAGAGGGAGGGAGAGGGGAGGAGGAATCAGATACAGGAAAAATAGAGCGAGAAAGTAGGAAAACCATACTTCAAAGTATAGCTTTCCTTTGTTTTCTGGGTTCCAGAGAGGTGCGAAATGGAAATGTTTGCATATTCAACCACTTCCCCGAAAAGCCCCACTCCTCAGTTACTTCAAAGGGTTTCCCACAGAAAACATTTTAATCCCAACCCACCATAGCGAGGATACTACTAGCCCTACTATTCATTGGAGGAACATTTCCATCACCCATCCTACTCCTTGTAAGAACTGACTATAGGCAAGAGGCCTGTCAAAGCCCATAATCTTACATCATTAAAAGCTTAAAAAGAGAGGGAAAAAACACAGCTCCAGCTAATCCTCATTTCATCAGGAAAGGATCACCAATGTATGAGACAGGAACATTTAAGTAGCCATAATGAATGAGGTATCTGGAATCTCTCAGAAAATACAAGGTGCTCCTCATTTGTCTCCTTATGGTAAAAAGTATTACTCGATCTGTAAAACTAATTAAGTCTTTAATAAATCGTTTTAAGAAGTGAGCCTTCTAGCAGGAATTTGCAGGTACCTTTTACACTATCCTTCCCCAACCTCCACACCGAGCTTTTATGATCAGAAATCAATAGCTACAAAATTGAGAGTCTTCAGAAACACACCAGACACCAAGTTGGATAAGGCTGTGCTTTATTACATGCATAATTACAAATCTGTGCTAAGTGAAAAATGTATAAAGCAATGGCGACCTGGGTTTAAGCCACACAGAGAAAGGGCTGGACAATCCCATTAACCTTTCTGCCAAAGTCCATTCCATTGCCTTTAACGTGATTGTTTCCTTTTCTTACAATTTGCATAGCACTTACTTGTCAAAGTACTTTCCTTTCATTGTCTCAGTTTATCCTCACAACAACCCTGTGAGGTAGGTAGGGCAATTAACACTATCCCCATTTTGCAGATGGGAACACTGAGGCACAGAGCGGTTAAGATCTCGAGGCTAGTTAGTAGAAGCACAGGGAATAGAAACCAGGTCTCCTAACTCCCCAGCCCACATCTTCCTTTTTAGACTATGTTCCTATGCTTGACCAGGGAGCAGAACGAACTGTGCAGTGAGCCACAGCTTTGGTACAGGCTGTGCCTATGAACAGGGACCAATGTCTCTAAAAGTTAGAATAAAGCTAAGAAAGCGTGACTAAAGGGTTGGCAACACTCAGATAAATAATTGCTCTGAACAGCTCAGCACCAAGTTTCCTGTGGAAACTCTATTAGCTTTAGTTGACTCTAGTTTCTGGACGCCTAGCTACTGCTAATGTCTATACCTTAGCTTCGGTTGAACTTTTACCAACTCTCAGGAACTAAAATGTCGAGTCAGACAGGTTTTCTTTGGCTACTGCAGTTGGAGCCGGCCCTACAAATGAGCTTATTACAGAGACATTCATATAGTGGTCCATGGGCTGGAACCGGCCCCTCTGATCCTCCTGGCCTCACTGGCTCACCTGACAGGTGGTATTTTTCCCACAGGCAGAAATGAATGGACAGAGGTAAGAGCAGGAGGCTGGCCTTGGTCAAATGAAGAAGAGTCACCATCATTACATCAATGGCATCCTTAGGTGACATGACCAGGGTGCTGTCCGTCAAGCCCAACTCCTTTCTGGCCTGTACCTGGTTAGCAGCATAGCTTCAAAAGACAGTTTAAAAGAACAAAACATTAAACACATCATTTTTTTACCTAGAATGAAATTAATTCTTAATCATTACATAGTCCCAAGGGACCAAATATATAATAAAAAGTAAATATTTATTAAAATCTGAGTGCTAAAAAGGCGGGACAATGGGAAAGAGAGAGAAGGGATAAAGTGAAATGGAGGAGGGAAAAGGAACACTCTTGAAGGACCATATACTTGAGGTACACTCAATAAGATAATGAGGCTAAACATTCCTACCCTGACAAAACCATCTCGGGCCATTCCCTTATCTCCATTCTGCCAGGTGGCATTTCACTCATCAAACCCTAGACCGCCTCTGGCTTTCAACAGGTTTGGACTAGTAGATGATAACAAGGTTTAGCAATGAATACTTCACATGTCTGCATTAAGATGCTAAAGCCCTGGACACTGCCAACAGATACCATTGGCTTTAGCCCCTACAGTGGAGCAAAGCCCCACTGGTCCCATCAGCTCAGAAGTATCTTCCATTCTCTACTCTCAGAATGATCCTCTCCCTCCCCAAGGTCCACATTCAAAACAATACACTTGGAGTAACTGAGAAAATTTTTTGAATTCAGGGTATTGGGGTGAGGAGAGACAGGGGTGGGGAGGAAAGAGGAGGAGAGGCAGAGATCATTTATTTAAACCCTCATATTTTTATACCATCACACACTTTCTTCCCCTTAAAAGGCCAAACTTTAGGCAAGGCATTCATTCAATGAGTGTGCACCCAGAGGCTGAAGACCCTTTGGCAGGAACTTAGAGGTAGGAATTTAAGACTGCGGGATTGGGCTGGATGACCTGATAGGTCCCATCCAAGAAACGCAAACTCCGCACATCATAGACCTTCTTTCTTTCTTGGGTGATTTGGCAAAATCAGACTACGAGGTGGAAAACCCGATTTTGCTCCCTACATCACTTCAAAACTTTGCCAAGATGCAGATGTTTAGAAATGAGACTGTGACCAGCAAACATTTAGGGAGTAACTTGAAGTTGCTAACACCTACTAGTCCAGGAACTCTTCCCCTTGGGGCAAGCAACAAAAATCGAGGCTGAGCACAGCTCAGTGGTTACCACAGGTCAAATTTACACAGCTCCCTGAGCTCTGAGAAAGCCTCACCTTTTTCTTTTTAATCTACAATAAGTACATACCAGGGAGGCTAACAATATAGATTTTTAAAATATTTTGCTATCAGAATTCAAGATAAGCTACCTAAAGCTTATCACTCAGGCAATGGCAGTAGATGCTGCCCTCCTCCGCAAGAGGGTCTGGTCTTGGGTCAGCCCTCTCCACAAAAGTAGACTGCCTCCACCAAATGCTGCTTTGAGCCTCTTGGTTGCTTGGAAAGCCTGGTCTTTGGGAGACTACTAATTTTTTCTCTCCTTGAGGCACATGATCAAGCAGTTTATAAATGTCGGGGTGTTTGGCTTGGGGCATGGAATGGCCTTCCTCCCACCATCTTACAAGAATTCGTATACTTGCTTACTAGGCTTTTTCCACTGCCATAACTTTCCATTCTCTCTCCAAAGGGAATCCAGGTTATCCCAGAGGTGGTTAAAAAAAAATCAAGGTCGTCGGACACTGAAGTTCAGACCACATATTTAGACACCTTTTTTTTAAGGACTCAATATTTCACCTCCCCTTTACTTTCTGAACTCCTCATTTTTTCTCAGAGTTTTTAAGAGCTCAATACTCTATGCACCACCATGAAAGATGCTCTCCTGCTTTCTCTGAACAGATGAGTGGCCTGCGTTTGGCTCTGATCCAGTGAAAGTAAACCGATTCCTCACAATACAATGTGGTCAGTCATCAGTAAGTACTCTGGCAATATAAAACACACTGGTCATGTCAAATTTTCAACTGTCTTCACTATCATTTATTAAAAACTCAACTTCAAAAACTGCACTCCTTGTGATTTATTAAAAAACAAAACCAAAAGATACTGTGGGGTAACAAGTACACCTTCCTACTCATCACCTAACTAAACAAATCAAGGTCAGGATCCAACCGGGACAGGTGATCCAAATACTTAAAACATACAGCAGTGATTACATTCCCTGATCGACTCTCTTGCACGCTGTTTTAAAAAACACATTTGCTCCCCTGACACCTGAATGGGTTCATAAGTTCATAGTTAAGAATTACTTCACAGCCTTAGACCACACAAAGTCCCCATTACTTTATCATTCTTGTGTTCAAGCACAACTGAAGACTTGCTAGAGACATTTATGCTTCTTCTCTGCTCTTCCTGTAAAGGGTTCAGATTCAGCCTCTGGTGCCAAAAGAACGGAACTGCTTTGCAGTTCCATCAGCAAATTAATCGACTGCTCTGCCAGCTGGCAAATCCAAAGTACCATCAATGTCAGATTATCCACCAGAGGATATCTGCTCTGTGGATTATACCACCTCTACTCCACAGCTGGGCTGAGCCTGAAGGACACCAGAGCCAGAAAAGAGGGGGAGTGTCTGAACGTACATCCAAATAGAAGTGATCTTAAAAGTGGCCATTATTTTGCTTGTTCAGTCCCCTGCTTCTGCCAGTGGCGTAACTAATCATGCCTTAACTATTTTGGCTTCTTTAATTCTTTACATCACAGATCTGAAGATACAAAATATAGCAGTTAGACTTTTACAAATCCATAGACTCTCATTCCTTTCGTGGCCTGGATGCCTACCAGATATTTTGCCTTGGAAAGCCCTAACTCTCTCGAAGCACTTATTGGCATTCTTTTGTAAATCCTTTCCGTGTGTCGGGAAACCTTCTTTCTTATTACCAGAATCGACTGGTCTCGGCTCATACTAATTTTTAAATCACAGATTATCCAGTCTTTTGCCACTGAGGTATGTGGCCATTTGAGACTACTGACAGACCCCCCTATATCAGCTTTGTTGGTTTAAGTATGTCCAACTGCTGAATTGGCAATGGCAGAAAGAACATTTTCCTTTGCCTCAAGACAAGAAACTCTGAGGGTTAAGGTGCTGAGCTAGCAGTCTAGCAGAGAGCTCTACCACAATTAGCCAAACTTGGAGCCAAACCATCGGACTGGACATATAATGGATACCATACACTACAGCTACTTCTAGCATACGAGTTACAAGGATTCCTGAGAAGCTGAGGTTAATGAATGAGATTTATCAGGAGTGAGGTATCAAAGGGATATTATTCTCTGGAGGGCCAATCGGTGCTTAGTATCTAGAAAGTATACCTTGGCACAGTGTTATCTGATTTCTTGAATTTATTCTCTGAAGTAGCACCTGAACACTGGCTCATCTGTCTCAAATCAAAAACAGAGCCTAGAAGAAACGCAAAGGCAAACTTAGACACTCTCCACATCACTGCTGTACTATGAAATGCGACCAAACCTTTCACCATCACCAAATACCAGAGATACTAGCATTTCCTGTTTTGCAAACTTTAGTTGGACGGCTGATAAGAAAAGACAGGTAGTGAACCAGAAGTACACACATAAGAACTTTGATTTGCGCACAACAGACGCGGTGGTCAGGCAAATAGCCTCATCTCGTGTGAGGGAATCAGTGGTACAGAAGGGACAAAAGACGTGAAGTTACTGAGTCGTGACTATAATATAATATAACCTAGGGAGGTTTTTGTCTTTTTCATTAAAATGCTAGAGTGATATACTTAAAAGGAGAAACTCTGGTGACTGCCTTGATATTTTAAAGATAAAAATCAAAATAAGCCTTGGCTCCCCAGTTCTAGGCAATAAAAGAATTTCAGATTTTGGAAAGATAAGAAACTAGGGGTAAAAAATCCTAGAATCAGAGATAGACAACTTTTAAAATGAGGTACGCTGAGGTGCTTGGAGTGGGAGGAGAGGCTGTGCCGAGTGACTGCTGATTCTAGGCTAGAAGCATGGTGGGAAGCGCTGGGAACAGACTTGTAAAATGGGAAAGGCTCAACTCCCACCCCTAGCATTTGAGTCTCACTGCTGTGGGCGTCAGCATGGAAATGGAGCTACTGGGCTATAAAGCAAAGCAAATGGTTGTGCGTCACCTCTCGTCCATGGGCTGTAAGATTGTAGAGGCTGGGTTTACAATTTAACTAGCCCTGGGAGTTATTTTTTTGTAACAGGAACGATTAACCGGGCACACTACTCAATCCCAAAGACAGTACTCAGGACTGAGGCGTGGGAAAGGGAGAATGGAGGGGGAACAACAGCACGTGGGTAAAACTGTAGAAAACGAAACAGTAGTCGGAATGATGATGGTGGCTCTGTAACTCCACCAGGTGTCCCTAGAGTGTGATATTTTCTACTGCAGTAAAGGTGGTAGGAAATTGAGACAGGCACCTTTTCAATTGTATACAAGCACCTTTGGTGTCACCAGGCCTTGTCCACACCCCTGGGTCTCAGGAAGGTTCTGCATTTTATTTAGAATTCTAAGGAGCCTCAAGAGAGTCACAGCTGCCTATCCTGTTCCAATGCCTTGAATATACCTGAAAGTACCCCAAGCCTAAATTCACGATCACGGGGACAACACTGGCCTGTTATATATATGTACTTAACACTGGGAGGACGCATGAGTGCGCAGTCATTTTAGTACTGGTGGTTGTTATGAAGGAATGCATGAGAACGCAGATACAGTTCGGGATCTTCCCTGGTTTACCAGTATGCAGTCTAGACTTGGTTCCCTTTACTATTCTTACATATTCCAGAAGCCAAAAGCACCATCACTCATGGAGGTGGCATCTGGGTAAGAGTTGGGACCTCACAAAAATGTGAAAGTCCTGGTCATTGACTTTGCTTAGAACTTTACTAATCATTCGTTTCACGGAAGATGGAGAAATCATTCCTTGCTACTAACAAATTCGTGGCAAAGTCCTTGTCTACTAGCTAACAAAGGCCATCTGGAAAATTACCCTTTTTGCAGACAAGGAGAAAATTCTATAACTTATCTTTTGTGCACTTCAAAAGAGTACCAGGAACAAGCAAGCTATAAAAGTCAACCTCTCTACATTCATTTAGAGGAGATTAACCAAAGCAGCATTGTCTTATAATCAGGTATTAAACTTAACATACACATACACACACATAAACTAATAATGCTAAATATTGTAACAAGAACAAGATAACATTTGAACTGAATTCACAGTCTGGAAAATACCATTCCTATTTTCCTTCTGGCTTTCCTTTCTGTGGTTGGAAAAGCAAAGTCCCTGGTTTACACTTCATCTTCCACCAATGACAGAGTCCAAAAAAGTGACTTTTTCATGAGCTTCCTGCAGGCTATAGGTCAGGATGGTTGGAATTTTTCTTGCATAGTTTTCAGTGATTGCATATTGGCTAATACTTATGTTGTAAATTAAAAAAATCTTTAGAAAAAGAAAGAAAAAGAATTAAACCATAGCAATCTTGTTTACTCTTTCATGAAATCTTCCTAATGCAATATCACAGAAGCCTAACTGAATTTTCTCCTAAAGAGAAGATTAATTTCCAGAGATTATGTAGTGCAACTGGTTAACTTGTAGGAAAGAGACAACACACAAATATAACTTCACCATCCAAATGTGGGAAATGTTTTTTGGGTACCCAGTTAATAAAATATATCCATGGTCTGCAATGTCCTTCCTGTTTTATATCCAGTACAACCCTGTGATTCTAGTTGAAGAGAATGGAATCAGGATCTTGGTTCGCCATCTGTGCTATATGCTTTAGCACATCCTTTTTGGTAATGATTCCAAGCAATCGCCTAAAAGATAAAACAAGACAAAAATTAATCTGTAGTTAAAATAACAGTCTCGAAGGTGACACTTTTTGTGGTCCTTTTCATCTTTGTCTTTGAATACTATCTGTACTTACAGAACGATGACAGGACTAGATTACATGTACCAGGTAAATGGGACAATGCATGGGTCCCGAAGCATGCTCTAAGCACTTCTTCCTCTAGGTCTTAAATCCTGCTATTTCCTGTGGTTTAAATATTCTTCGCTCTATATACAAATCTTACCTTTTGCAACCCAGTTCAAATGTCCCTCTTCCAGAACACCTTCCCCGATCCTACGAGCCAGTAATAACTGTGCCCTCCTCCTGGGAACAGCATGTTCTGTGCACACCTCTTCCGTAGCATTTGTCCAATTTGCTGTGTTCTCAGCTTCCCTATAAACACTGTATGCTCCTTGAGGGCAGAGAAGGGTCTCATTGCTTTTTGCCTCTCCCCAGAATCTAGTGGAATGCCTTCTTACATGAAGTACAGATTCAGTAAAGGTTGAATGGATCAGTTAGGAAAAGTCCCCTTACTGATCTCAATCCTGCAAGACATCTGCTACGCTATTCAGAAACTGTAGAGGGCGAAATTCTTATATAATCATTAGATTAACATACCAGGGTCAAAAACAACAACAAAAAAACCAAAAACACGCACCCTTCTCCTCAGCCTCCTTTCTTTTCCAATAAAAATAGCATGGCTTCCTTTACTGGATAAGAAATATCCCAGAAAGAAAGAGCCTTAGCCTTGGAAGTCAGAAGACTTGTGTTTAGGGAGTTCCCTGGTGGCCTAATGGTTAGGATTCCGGGCTTCCATTGCGTGGCCTGGGTTCAATCCCTGGTCCGGGAACTGAGATCCCGCAAACTGTGTGGCGAGACCAAAATAAATAAATAAATAAAGGCTACCACTACTAGACAGTAACTGGGAGTCCTTGTGCAAATCTTTAAACCTCACTGGAACTTGGTTTTCTCACCCTCAAATAATAACAACAAAGGTATCGTAAGCACCAAATACTATACATATACTACCTAATACCATTATAATTTCAGTGCTGCCTGTTCATGAGGACATAGTTGTTTCCTTTGTGGGGGAGGAACTGAGTTATTTATAATGTGCAACCAGCAGTTCGCATCTCTCAAACCCACTATCTTCCCCAAACTCCTTTTCTATTAATTATGACAAAAAAAGAAACACATTCATCTTCATCTCAGAGGTTCAAAAAGGTCTATAAATGCTACAAATATTCATGTGAGTTGGGTTCTTCTTTCTTTATCTCTCTACATTCTCTTTTCCTCCCAAATCCAATTTGCCTTCACCAAAGAGCTCTCACCCATTGTGTGTAACCAGGCACTGCCGCAGTCCCAGCTTGCGGAAGATATCTACCACGATCTCCATGGGTGTAAGGTCAGTCACAGTGAAGGGGCTGAGATCCAGGATGTTCCGAAGCTTGAGGGTAGGTGGGGTGTATGGTGGCACTGGAGGAGAATGCTCGGTGAAATAAATGACAGAAGTGCTCACAACTCCATCCTGTTTTTTTCGAGCATTTTCTATTTGAAAAGTAGAAAACAAAAGGTTGAAAAAGGAAGGACTACTTCTAAACTTCTGGCCCCTAACCAGTCCCCTCTCCACTCTGTCCTTCCCCTTTTCACGCATGCACGCATGCTTAGTGATTGATTGACTGTATAGTTGATTTACAATGTTGTGTTAGTTTCAGGTGTACAGCAAAGTGATTCAGTTTTATATATATGTATATATACATATAATTATATATATATATCGATATATATAAACATTCTTTTTCAGATTCTTTCCCATTACAGGTTATTACAAGATACTGAATATACTTCCCTGTGCCATACAGTAGCCTTGTTGTTTATCTATTTTATATATAGTAGTGTGTACCTGTTAATCCCAAACTCCTAATTTATCCCTCCCTTCCCCTCATGCATATTTATTTATTTCCATAGTGGATTCCCTTATCCCATTTCTGAAATCCTTACCAATTGAAATAATGAGGTCTCTTCGGAGGACAAAACCCACAAGTCTTTGGGACTCCCGGGACACCACAACTGGGAAGCCACTGTAAGTGGTTTCACTGATTATGGTCTCTACGTCTTCCACGGTCATACTGTCCTGAGTAAGGACAGTCAACAAAGGATCATTTCTCCGGGGTTTCATCACATCCATTGCCAGGGTCTTGTGAGCAAACTCTTCTTTGGCTTCAAGAAAGGGGTATCCATTGAGACGGATGTGGGCATCATAGATGCCCTCCCGCCCAAGAGCATCTGCCACCCACTTGCTTGTCATGGCTGCGGCCATCAGAGGCACAATGTATTCCAAGCCACCAGTTAGTTCAAACATTATGACAACAAGAGAAACAGTCATCCGAGTCACCCCGCCTGCAAAAAACAGACACAGGCTACTTACTGAAGGGAGCAAAAGTATAGGATTCATTACAGTTATGGGCCTGTCACAGGCCCCATCCAGAAAAAGCTACTTACCAGAAACATCACTAAAAGGAGGCCTCACCTATAGACCCCTGCAACTGCATTCAAGCAAGTTTACAGTGAACATGAGTCAGACTTCTAAAAATAATCTCTACAAAAGTACAAGATACCTCCTTCATTCTTCTTCTTTTTTTCATTTGTCTGTTGCTCCCCACCCCCCAATTATATAAGTAATTGCATAAGATCTCTATGATTTGTGTAACACTACAGATACGAGAGGTTCTCTGGGATGTGCAGGCCCACTGTGGAAAGATCAGAAAATACATATATTTTTAAAGTATATAAAAGAAAGCCATTATCCATAAGCTCACTGTCTAGAAATATGCTGAGTAAAAATTTCAAATGACTTTTTTCAAAAACGTATGTTTTTATACAGATGAACTCATATTATACGTTTAAATTCCCCACCATGCTTTTTCTCCTAACTTTATATTAGGAATACTTTGTATATTAGTACAAATGTATTTAAAGATATTAAACGTATTAGCATCACATTCAGTGGCTGTATGGTATGGCATTATATGGACGTACTATACCATAATTTATTTAACCAGTCCCTTATTGTGCTTTTAGGTTGATTCCAGTTATTTGCTATTACACATAATACCATGATGCACATTCTTGTGCAGATCATCTTTGCCCAAATTTCTGATTATTTCCTCAATATGACGGAATTTGAGAGAAGAATTACTCTCAAAGGGGAGGAATGGAGATATACGGTAAAGAATGCTTTCTTAAAGCACTTGAAAATGGCAAGCCCAACAAGAAAGGGAGAGTCATCTTTTAAAAAATCTACAGTCGGGCTTCCCTGGTGGCGCAGTGGTTGAGAGTCCGCCTGCTGATGCAGGGGACACGGGTTCGTGCCCCGGTCCGGGAAGATCCCACGTGCCGCGGAGCGGCTGGGCCCGTGAGCCATGGCCGCTGGGCCTGCACGTCCGGAGCCTGTGCTCTGCAACGGGAGAGGCCACAACGGTGAGAGGCCCGCAAAACAAAAAAAAAAAAAAAAAAAAAAATCTACAGTCAATTGTGTTTAATATCACTTGTCTTTATAATGCCACCTGGGTAGCAAACTCTTTGGAATCAATGCAAACAGTACTCACCCAAGCAGGCTGCAGCCCCAACCATCGCATAAAGGCCAGGGGTGATACAATCCGCTCCTTGACTGCACCAGCTATTGAAGATGGCCCAGTCATGGTGGTAATAAGCCAGCTGTTCCATCCCTACTCCCAAAAGCCGACCCGCTATAGCACCAACAGCCATGCTAGGGATAAAGAGGCCAGAAGGGATCTGCAAAGAGAAAGCAAAAGATGGTCAGTGAGAAGTGACGTGATCGTCCGGCACATGGTAAGGGCTAGAGGACTGACCCTCTGCGAAGCGAACAGGCCAATGACAATTTAACTATGCACTACGCTAGCAAGTGGCCGCAAAGATTTGTGTAACACTACAGGGACTAGAGGTTCTCTGGAACGTGCAGGCAAGGACGACTGCAAAGACGCTTACCCTGATTCGGGGTCCATCAGGCAAGAGCCTGAACTCTCCAGACCAACACAGAACTGGAGGCAGAAATTAAGCCTTTCCCAAAGAAAAAGGAAAATAGATGGAGTTTCTCATATATGCAGACATTTTCCCCAATTTTGAATTCTAATCAACAACAATTACCCTTTATTGACTATCTACAATGTTCAATGCTGGATGCTCTATGGACCAGATTTCATGGGTTCTTTACAACCACCCCAGGAGGCAGGTGTTATAATTCCCAACTCGCAAAGGACCTAAGGTGTAGAGAGGTTAAGGAACTCACCCAAGGCCAAGATTTAGTAAACGCTGGTACTGCGGTTTAAATGCAATGCTTGTAACCACTCTCATGTATTGAATCTTGACCCATTACTCACACAAAAAGGATGGCACATGAGGTTTCAGTTTATTTTAACAGTATAAAGAAAGAATAAATGATTAAGTTTTCTTAATGAGATAGTGACTATGGTTGCATGACTGTCCCAAAAAGGAACCCCCATCTGTCTCCCCACTCTTTTTTTTTAACACCTTTATTGGGAGTATAATTGCTTTACAATGGTGTGTTAGTTTCTGCTTTATAACAAAGTGAATCAGTTATACATATACATATGTTCCCATATCTCTTCCCTCTTGTGTCTCCCTCCCTCCCACCCTCCCTATCCCACCCCTCTAGGTGGTCAAAAAGCACCGAGCTGATCTCCCAGTGCTATGCGGCTGCTTCCCACTAGCTATCTATTTTACGTTTGGTAGTGTATATATGTCCATGCCACTGGAAGCAACCTAAGTGTCCATCATCGGATGAATGGATAAAGAAGATGTGGCACATATATACAATGGAATCTTACTCAGCCATAAAAAGAAACGAAATTGAGTTATTTGTAGTGAGGTGAATGGACCTAGAGTCTGTCATACAGAGTAAGTAAGTCAGAAAGAGAAAAACAAATACCGTATGCTAACACATATATATGGAATCTAAGAAAAAAAAAAGGTCATGAAGAACCTAGGGGTAAGACGGGAATAAAGACACAGACCTACTAGAGAATGGACTTGAGGATATGGGGAGGGGGAAGGGTAAGCTGTCCCCACTCTTTTTTTGACTCCTAGGATACAATAGTGCATTCTCAATTTTCTGTGCTAGGAGAGGGAAAATGATGACAGAGATAATCCAAACAGCAGATTATTTTAAAATAGCTTGTATTCAATTCTGGAATATATTTGAATCAGGGTGGGTCTGATGGTCTGCAAATTCACTTTAGATGAAAGAATGAAGCCACGAGGTAAAAAGTAACTCAAGAAGCACTGCAAATCTGTCCAGGGTGTTGAGGAGGATGCATATCAATTCAGAGATTACACTACTGCCTAAACCGACTTGCTGGCTCTTATTTTCTGGTTTGAATCTCCATTTCCCTAGAGAAGAGGAAATACCTTGGTAGCTGAGTGCTGAAAAAAGAAACAAACAAATGAAAACCAAGGAAGAGGAGGAAAATACTTTACAAATTTTCCTTCCTGGTTTCTTCTGACACACGGAAATGATAATGGGTACTGAAAATAAAAGATGCTGGCCTAATACCAGCTGTTGATAATCTAAATACTAATTTAGGATCACCTGTGAAGTTCTTGATAATTGGACACTGATAACTGTAAAAAATACATTTAGCTACCTATTGGGTTGAGCCATATGAAATTGCTATTTTAGTGGTCAAAATGGTCGGCAACTTCTTTTGGTTCAACCTACTATCTTGCTTTATTCGTAACTCTAAAGCCACTTTATAAGGACCAAAAATGTGTTGGTCAGATATTGTTTTGATATAAAATGCACTGGAATAAATACCTCAGCATCCTTTTTGAGAGGCAAAATATGTTTTCCACAGAAGAGGAGAAAATGTTTCTACTCGAAATCTCATCACTGAGGTTTGCATTTGGCCTAAAACTGGGCTTGCACAGTTTTAGATAGAGGTACAATCATCTAAGAAGTTATGAGAACACATGGGGGTAAAAAGGGATTTGGGTCTTTGAAGTTGGATGCGCCATACGAACTATGAGAATCGTGCACTATCTTGGCTTTGCCCTCCAAACTTACAGCCACACAAATTCCACCAAGGACCAAAAGAATCTCCTCACCTTCATGCCAAAAGTGAATATAGTGATGACAATTTTCAGTATGAGTGTCAAGGCCAGCTGCCACATTGCGCTGTAGACTCCCACACCAGCTGGTCTGTCGGGCAGCTCACCCGCCTTGCTTGTGTTGAAACGGTTCTCATAATCACAGAGCTTAGAGGAGTCCAGAAGGCCACAGTCATTGAACAGCTCAGAAATGAGCTCACTTGTGCTCATACGGGTGTACTCATTGGGGAAAGCCAGGATGGCAGTGATGGCCGTCATGACGAGTACCTCTATGACAGGATACTTGCCCAACTGGGTGGTCTTACGCTTCCGACACCAGGCAATATTGGTGCGGATAAACAAAGCTCCCCACAGACCACCAAATATGCCCAACAGAATGAAGGGCACGAGCTCAAAGAGATGCCATGGGGTGTGAAACTCCACATAAAATAGAACCAGGCGGCTGTTCCCAAACGGATTGATGGAGCGCAGAGTGAATGCTGCCACTAAAGCAGCAAAAAACGAACGCCACAGTGTTTTGAGGGGAAAGTAGTAGCTGACCTATAAGAGAGAAAATGAGAAAGTAAGCTCAGTCAACGTGCATAAACTGGGGTGAAAACTGGTGCTGCAGGAATTAGAGTTGAGGATGAAAATGGCCTGGAGATCTCCGGCCCCGTGGCAAAGCACTGGAGTTGGGCAGAGCACTTTGGGACTGCAATGTACACAGACAATGGCCAGAATTCCTGGCACAAAATCATGTGCGTGGCTCTACAGACAGATAAAAGTATTACCTCTTCCAGGCTGAATAATACTCCGCCAATAGGTGCCCCAAAGGCTACAGATACACCGGCTGCAGCTGCAGCTGACAAGACCTATGATGCAAAACCCAAAATTAGTGAATAGATCAAGGCCACTTTCCTACCTTCAATCACATTTTAAAAAGGAATGTTAGTGGTTACTAAATAAAAAAACAATTTTATATGCTCCATATCCAGTTTATCACAAATGAAGTTCAATGTATATTTACTTTGAGAGCAAACACTGTATGCTGAATTTTGAACACGTGGTTCACATGCTGGTACATGTAGAGGGCCTTCCTTCATAATTAATTTAGGCATGTACTTGATCCCAAATTATGCCCCCATCCCCAACACTCCCAATTCCGTAACTGATTTTGAGTCTGCAGACCTATTTATCACCTAAATGAAATACTTCCAGTGATGTATTTACATAGCACTTTCTTTATAAAGGAAAGCTTTTAAAATGAGATTTTAAAGGTTCTAATGATACAAAACTGAAGTAACGATTGGCTCACAGCTAGTCAGAAGTTGAAAATATTCAGACAATAAGTATTTAGAGTTTCCTGTACTATGTGTCCTACTCCATGCCTAGTGACCTATGGAAACAGAAGTGGGGGGGGACTAGAGGCAAAATTGGCGATAGATTTTGAAAGGAAGAGAAGACCTAAATGTGTTTAGGTGTAGCAAGGAAAAGGGTGAGGAGGGAGGGGAAGAGGAAGAAGCTGTGAGAGAGAAATTAAAAGGGACAAGGAGATGGGGAAAGAGAGCAAGTGATATTTCGAGAGCACCATCTTTGTATGTCATAGGCATTGGCATGTGTACGTAAAAGGTGCATGACAAACACACCAGAATTAATAGAAGGATAAAGTCCTTTCATTGGATTCTGGTTGCTGTGGGGTGGTATATAATTTGTGGTAGTGAGGAACTATTTTAAAAGGAAGTTGAATAAAATTAAGAGTTTTTGAAGAAAAAATGGTTCTTGGCAAAAATAAATAGGCAGGTTTCTCTGGGAGTGCAGGATGGCCAAAGAAAATGAAGGGGGTGGGGGGGGGAAGAGTGATCTCTGGTGCTAGCTGGGGAGGACTTTGAAATTCAAGGCTAGAATGACTTTCATCTGAGAAGGAAGAGGACATTTAACATGGAACTTGAGAAAGGGGATTTCAGTGACTTTGTTTAGGTTGAATTATGAGGGAGAAGAAAGAATCGAAGTGGCCTATTTGCCTTAATATTATGTTGTAGAGTAGGGTCTATCTACACCCTACCGTCTCAAATCTCTATTTTACTCTCAACCATCTGGCCACTTTGACAAGGCCCTGGGACATAAAAGGGTTACTGCTGATGGTGAGAACAACAGGAAAAAATAACTGCGAAGTCTGAATAAGCAATAGGAAGTGAATGACATTCAAATATTCATGAGTTTAGTTAGAAATATATATGACATCTGTACAGAGAACCAGCCAAATCAAACTCCTCTCTTATTTTATAAAGAACTATTTGAACAAAAATGCCAATTTTTATGGAATGGAAGTAACCAGCAATCTACAGTTTCAAAGTTACCTCTACCTATGCAAAACCAGCAACAATCAACACTTTACTCTTGACAGTTAAAATGGTTTTTTTTTCATGTCTTTAGCTTCTGTTATACATTATTCCTGTCTAACAACCTCACTAATTTAATACTGCCTTTATGTCCCTCTACATTTGACAGATAGGTAAACAACCTACTCAGATTTCCCCCTCTCTCTCCTGCTAGCCTACCTCTCCTGCCAGGAACATTCCCCCTTGAACTATCAAAATGTATTCCATATTTGAAATTTCAACATGTTTGAGTTTCCTTCCGAGTGTTACGGTGAATTTTGTTTTGTTTTGTTTTGTTTTCAGAACAAATCATTAGGTTCCAATTTTGTGAAAAATCCTTTCCAATGAAATGACCTTGGTCTCGACCCATTCCATATGTGATTTCTTTGTAATTCAAGGAAAATAGAGCAAGAACCATTTTCTTAAATCCTTAATTATAGCAGGACAAAAGTAACCAATGACTTGGAACTTTTAAAAAAATGTTCTTCCTCCTCAAAATGACATACATTAACAACTGTATAAACACGAGAACAACTATAGAGATGCTGCAGCAGGGTTAATTTAGCGGGGTTGAGCCAGAAGACAAGGGAGAGAGAGATCCAATACAGAGAGAAACCAATGCAGCGTCCTGTTAGGTAGAAATAAAAGATGGAAAAGCTGGCATCTTAAACACATGCTGAATTTTATATTCTTTCACAGGGATAAAAAACTTTCTTTTAAAATAATCTTCCATTAGTTTTGTACTTATTTTGTAATAGAAATAGCACATGCTTGTATAGAACTATACATAATAAAAAGTTGACGTCCTTACTTCTCCCTCACTTTCCCCCTCACCAGAGGTAGACATTTTTTAACAGTTTGGGGTGAAACCACTTTCCAGTCATTTTCTTTCTAGGTGCATATATACATACTTTTCAAAAACATTAACTGATTTTTACTATACACATTATTCTGAGATTGGCTTCTAAAAGTTTAATGGTATTTTATAGCCATCATTCCATGTGAGTATACATAGCATTATCTCATTCTTTTTAACAGTTGCACAGTATTCTAGAGTATGGACAGAATATTGTTTATTTAATCAGTCCCCCATTGATGGACATTTTGATTGCTTCAGTTTTTCACGATGTTGACAGATGCTTCACTGTCCATCCCTATACATCTTTGTGCACACATGGTAGGATGTCTGTAGGATACATTTCTAGAAGTGGAACTTCTGGGTCAAAGGGCATTTGCATTAACACTGGTAGAATCTCCCAACTCTCATCCCTAAGGTTGTACCATTTATGCTCTCACCAAAAAAGAGACTATTAAGGCCGTTTGTTATTACCTCTCTGCGTTTGGCTTCATTCTTCCTGTATTTGTTGAAGCAGTGGCACAGGATGTTCCCACAGCAGCAAGCCACGTGCACTAGGGGGCCCTCTTTGCCCAAGCTCAGGCCAGATGACACTGCCAGCACCAGTGTTATGGTTTTGATAATCAGGGTCCACTTACCCAAATAGCCCCTAATAATGAAACCACTCAAGATAGTTTTTATCTGCAGGTCAAACACAGAGAGATTGAATACAGACTAAGTAAGGAAACAAGGCTAAGAAGCTATAAATCTGGTCCTCGTTATAGAAACTGCACCTTTTGAAAACAACTGATATATAAATGCTTGACCCACAGTGATCCCAGTTTGGGAGGGAGCCCAGCAGCCCAAGAAAGTGAGAAATGTTCTTTAAACTTTCATGTTCCTTTTTTTCTTTTTGGCCATGTGATAGCTGGGCAAGGTAGTATTGTAAGTATGAGAGTGCATTGTATGGAGAAGGGGCGGCAGAGGGAGGGTGTTTCCCTTACTTAATCCTTACACGCTAGTATAGCCCTGACTCTCTACCAAGGAATCTGTAACAATGACTTGGTCAGGAAACAGAGAGGGGGCAAGGTCATCCAGGTAACCTAAAATCTCTGTGGTTTCAGTCACTGTCAAGCAATCTAAACCAAAAGTACTTAGAAATAGGGTTTTAGTCACCCTCCTTCTAGCCCAAATCATATTGCAGGAAATGTAGCAAAACGGTTTTATTTCTTCTGCTCTAACAAAGTTGACAATACCACTATTTTTTCAGACCAGAAGCCTGGGATCTACCCTAGGAGCTTCTTGGTTAGGGAGTCGGGGAGGTCTTCAGGGGCCTGGTTCACCAGGAACCCGGAGGAGGCTAGGAATCAACTCCCTTTATTTATTTATTTTAAAAATATTTATTTTTTTTTAAATTTTTTTATTTATGGCTGTGTAGGGTCTTTGTTGCTGTGCTCAGGCTTTCTCTAGTTGCGGCGAGCAGGGGCTACTCTTTGTTGCGTTGCACAGGCTTTCTCTAGCTGCGGCGAGCAGGGGCTACTCTTTGTTGCGGTGCACAGGCTTCTCATTGTAGTGGCTTCTCTTGTTGCGGAGCATGGGCTCTAGGCGCGCGGGCTTCGGTAGTTGTGGCTCTCAGGCTCTAGAGCGCAGGCTCAGTAGTTGTGGCACACGGGCTTAGTTGCTCCGTGGCATGTGGGATCTTCCTGGACCAGGGATCAAACCCGTGTCCCCTGCATTGGCAGGCGGATTTTTAACCACTGCCCCACCAGGAAGTCCCTCAACTCCCTTTAATGTCCAGGTAGCCCAGCCTGGGAGGAGACTTAACGGAAGATCTAGAGAGGCCCTAGATTGCCTCGTGATCTGATCCTGCTTGATATTCAACTGTGGTATATGCTGGAATACATATTAAATCGTTTTAACTAAAAAGGATTCATTATTGTTACCATTTATAAACCATTTTAGAGACTCACCTCAGGGATTCCGGAGCCACAGGCGTACGGTGCGAACACCTTGACAAGAGATACGGCAAGGAAGGCAAATAGGAGAGCCCAGAGGACATACATGAAGTAATTGACTATGTAAGCAAAGGCTCCCTGGAACAGGGGAAAAAGAAAGACGCTTGTTTTAGCCCAGACAGCCTCAGTGAGGCATGCATCTCTTCTGAGGAATGGGTTTTCAGGAGAGGAGGTCAGAAAGAAAAAAAAAAACAATATTAAATTGCTCAAGATGTTCCTTCCCAGACTGTCAGCAAAGCAACTGTCAGCCCACTTGCTACTGAAAATGAGAGGCTTTGTTACACCCAGAGGACACTGACAATGCCTTCTAAGGATGGACAAGAACGAAGAAGCAAATTCACTTTCTATATGAGTGCTTTGATAGATTTTGTAGTCAAATATATATGATACTATGTCAATTTCATTAAGAGTCTTAACAGCCCCTTTATTGGAATGGCTGAACCTTGACTACACATTTGAAGTGAAGACTGGCTCCAGAGTTCCATTAAATTCATCCTTGCCTACTACCTACCTTGGTGTCAAATTCTCATAGGTTAGAGTATCTAAAATTCTTTGGTGTTTTTCTTAAAATAAGCAATGACATTCTGTAGAGACCACCACATCTTTGAGAGAATTTTGCCACTGTCGTAGCAAAGGTGTAGTTGCTGAGTGGCAACAAGAAAATGCAGTAGAAAGTTTTGGGCTCTGACCATCAAACAAAACCAGTGAGATGCAAGATATCCCAAAGAATAAAACAGCAACAGCTATTTTTAAAAATGGAGAGAATATACTTATGAGACTATCCCCCTATTATAATGAAATCTGCCAGAAATCTAATTTTGACCACTAGCAAGCATTCACCAACATTAAAGGGCTCGCAAAATAGCTATGCCTTACAAAAAAAGATATTTTGAACACTACCAGATGATGCTTGCTCATAGAAACATTTGAAGTTGAAACTCACTCAAATTACATGAAACACAAAACTCAAGGGACTTTCGACTTTTTAAAACCTAAAACACTATCAAAATAATTCATTGACCTAGACAAGGAGAACCAAAATGCTCAGGTTTTTTCTGAGTTATAATTTTGACACAGGTTTCCCATTATTTTAGTCCCTCAGAGGAACAAATAATTGCTCTCTTGGCCTTTAGAATGTAGCTAGGGAGGAAGAATACTCTAGAAGTAGGAGACAAAGAGGAAAAGGGAGGGAAAGGGGAAGTAGCTGAAACTGACTAGAGGCAGAGACCAGGAGGTCAAGTTCTTGGCAGGAGAACTCTTCTTAAAACCTAGAAGACTCTTTTCCCAGGCAAGAATTTCATTCATTAAAAGGAGGCCCAGAGAAAGTTGTCACTTGTGCAAATCTCCGGCTCCAGTTTGAAAGCTATGGTTGGAACACTTAAACACATGCACACAGCTCTCAAGGAGTAGCATGGGGGAGCCTTGTTGTGATGGAACAGTAGTTCTACATCTTGATTGTGGTGGTGGCTACACAAATCTACACATGTGCTAAAACTGTGGAGAACTACACACACACACACACACACACACACACACACACACACACACACACACA